GCGGGGACCGGCGCGCGCTGGAATTAGACCAATCATTTGGGGCACTTGCGTGACTTTTTTTGCTCAAAAAAAAAAAATGCGTATCCAGCTACAGCATTGTGTTACACATCATATCGCACAAAAATACATGTCAGTTGTGCAAATTTTAGTTAAATACTAATAATTGCTCTTGGAAAAGACGGGCTCACCACAACGCCATTTGGCGGCAGTTCTCTGAAGTACAGTCTTTGATTTGTCGTATGAAAGTCCCAAGTCACAACGGGCTTATAGGTGTGGAGGTTCGTTGTACTGTAGAAAACCTGATGGTGGACTTGTGCAAGTCCTGTTTCATTTGGTTTTACTTCGCAAAATTACAAACTGCAATCGGAAAATTACAATCAAATCTCACATTTCCGATGGAATGATCACAATTTTACAATTGCAAATTGTAAAATTACAAATGTTTCCTAATTTTCAGAAGACAGATTTGAATTTTTAGAAAACCGTTATGAATTTTAATAACTAATTGCAAAATTGACAATGTAATGAAATTTCCCAACCACGTTTGCAATCTTACAACTGATTCTGATGTGAAATTTCACAATTTTTTTTAACAGTGTACCACATTTTCCAGCATTGCCCCTTAGTTCTATCAATTTACAACAAAATACGTATGCTGTTCGTTTATTCTGATTAGGAGGTGGAAGGAAACACCGGAGCAGGATATTTTGTACCTGGTTTATTTTGGTAAATGCACATTCTTCTCACTCATTCATTGATGTATGTACAAACATCATCTTCGGTCACGTACAACTTTCACATTGATTGCCATAAATAATTTTAAGGTTAGCATTGCAATCTTTCCTTTTCTCCCACCCTCCCCCTCCCAGATAGTCATAAAGAAGTATACAGGTAGTTCCATGCCGACAAGCAGCGTGTTGTGTGCACACATTGGTGCCAAAGCCACTCCATTTTTCTGTTTCTCTTGGTAAGTCTTTTTTTCTCTCAGCGTAATAAATTTATCAACGTTGATTTACTGACATGTTGTTTTCCCTCCACAATTGCAGTCTGGAGTGCATATCACTTAAAATAGCTTACAAAAAGCCAGACTAAGATTTCCTGAGCATTATTTTAGAAATTACCAATAAATTGGGACTGAATAGATCCTTCAGTACTAGGTGCCGTTGTGAAGTAAATGAAAACACCACAGAAGTTGATAACCAACCACTTAACATTTACAGTAGAAAAGTTATTGCCCATGTCTACATTTCAACACGCGAGTCACATAAACATGGAATTACTCTGAACTTTGACTACTTATTTCTAAATAACAAAATATACTCAGTGTTTCATTATTAAAATTACACTTAGGAACGCTGACTGGGCTGAAAGTTGGGCATTGTTATCACATCAGATTTAAGTTTGAAACAGTTGAAAACTAGGTGACTGAGCGATGAAGAGAGAACTCATATGAACTCGGGGGTTGTTCAAGAAATCATCACTATCCAAAAGAGATCACAAATAAAAATAAAAATTATCATTAATAATACAAATGATAACAACAATATTTATAAAAGTTGGAAAGGCCTAATTTTGTACAACATATAAAACAAAATGGAACATATTATGAATTAGATAAATAAGTATTTAAAGCCAGGGCAGCCAACACTTACACTGTCCTTATCAACTCCGCGCTAGGTTGTACAGCAGTAAATCTCATTTTGGCCAGCATTAACATAATCTTTGGTGTGGTGAGCGATGCGCCGTGGCTCTAACAATAGTAGGAATTGGAAATGCCTAGTTTACAGAAGTATGACAGGGGGCGGTACATACTGCCGCGGTTTATCACGTCTTTGTTCTCACATCGCTGCCCCTTGTATCCTTCAGCACATCTGGAAAAAGAAAACGATAGCGGATGAATTAGCAGTGGGTGAGAGAGCCTTCTCTTGTTGACGGTGTGGGTGCAGAGCACATCACCATAGAGCACTCACTGGCAGACTAGTTCTCCGACCGTGTCGTAATAGGTGCAGGTGCCGCCGTTGAGGCAGTACGCATCGAAAAAACAGCCGCGGCCGACCAACGGCCAGAGTGTAGTCGCTGCAACACACACACAAGAGAGTTTGTTTTTATTGAGCAGCAGGTTGTCGGCCGGGCAGCCAACCCCTCACCCCCCACCCCTTGCCCCACTCCATCCCCCGCAACAATGTAGAGGATGGCAGGAGAATGAATGAGACGCCCGCTCATATTCCCCCCTCACTCGCACGCGCTGGTGTGGGGCTGCGGTGGGAAAGAGTCGGAACTCTCGTGTCGGGCGGGCCGGGCGCGGCAGGGGTGGGCGATTCAGACGCGTCGACGCCGACGCCACCCGGCCACAGGCCGCTGTCGCAACCACAGTGAAAAAGAAGGAGGGGGTGAGGCTGAAGGGCGCCATCGCTTGAGCGGGGATGCGACCGGCCGGACGAGAAGCAGCCACGAAAAAGTCGACGTTAAAGTAAGGGGGAAACTTACACTTACATCTATGGACGTTTCAATAAGTTTCAGAAGTGCACAATACACATAACTAACTCTGAAAAGCACACTAAATTGTTATCTACAATTTTTGTGCGTACCTAAGGTGTTTCTGTTCAATTACGCAACTATCAACAAATTTGGAAAAACATTTGCAGCTATAAACAACTGCTTCTAAAATAATACGCAACAGAGGGTAGGTGCAAAAATGCTTAAGTGCGTACAGTTTTCAAAAAATACAAATTTAGTGGTGTGAGGCGGGGTAGCGGTGGGATGGTCTTTGAAACACTCACTGTTGTCCTGACGGGCGTCCACCTGCACGCTGACCGCCGCCGAGGCGCTGTCCTGCCGCCCGATCACAGACACTGCTTTGCACTCGTATCGGCCGCCGTCCGACGGCTTCACCCGGGCGATGATGAGCGCCGACTTCTTCCTGCAACAGGGCAGTTTATTTATTATATAAAAAACAAACACTTTTAGCTAACTTATTTCATTATTTTCATTCATTTCCGACCGACCGAACATGCAGAGGAAGCAGGGAGGGAAAAAAGGGGGTGGGGGGTGGGGCGGCAGTCAAGGCACCGCACCTCACCGCAAGTCTGAGAATATAGCGTCAGCGGATGTGTGGGTGCGAAATGAAACGCGAGTGGCAAAGCGATTCGCGCCGAAACTGCGATTACCGCTATCGTCGTAAAAAAGACGTGTGTGAGGGTTTGTGTTTACACTGTGTTTACCAGCCCAAGGCCGCGGAGGCACCCGTAAGGCGCGCAAAGCGACCCCCACCTTACCCTCTGCAATATCGCTTCGAGGCATCGAAACCGCGGAGGACGTAAAAACTCGAGTAATAGTCAAATACCTGGTCTTTGGTATTACGCGACAAAGGAACGGCCAGAGTGTACAAGTCCGTCGTTTGTCGTTATGAAACTGCCAAGTTTAGCCTTGAAAGGCTCTCATAGCGCCTGGTAGTTACGCAACTTCGGTCCTGCAGTGCATACGTGTACTGCGGGGCGGCCTATCCTGACTCTCGCAGGCGCTAAGCGCCCACGATTTGCAGAACGAATCTTTGGAAACGGACGTACTTCTGAACCATCCCTAATGCGGGTAAGAAAATACCGGGAAGGGGCAAAATATGCTCACTAAAGACAGAATTTCGTGTGCCATAACGGCACAGTGAATGCCACGATATAGGGAGGTAAATGTAGAGTAGTTAACCCGTCGGCATATTGGATGAAAAAACGTGGTCAATATGAGCTCACAAAGAGAAGAGAGACGACTGTTACTGATACCCCCTCATACCCCTACCCTCAGAGAGGGAGGGATCCCTGAGGGATTTGCAACTCTCGCCTCGCTACAGAGTACGTCGATGGGCTGTTGCAGTGTGTGGGGCCGTGGTGGAGAGGAGGGGAGAGGGGAAGTGGGG